ATTTCAGAAATTAATTTGATTACAGATGGAGATGCAGCCGGCCTTAATCTAATTTGACCATGTGCCGTTGGCAAACTGACCCTTTGACGTGACCCCAGCGCTTCTGTGGTCCCAGCGGAATGACCAATCACCTCAAATACCCCATGATAATCTAATCCAAATAATCTCTATAGCTGCAAATTTGCTTCATCTGCATGCATTTCATCAGTGATTAAATGAAGTTGTAGCTTTTTTTTAAATATGCACACTTGGTTTTTAATTTTGACCCACAATTAATTAGAATTAGTCCATTAATTAACTAAGTAATCACCATGCAATTGATTACTTTATTATATTATTATTGGAAAGCAATATTGTTGCTCTCAAATGTATTCGCCATATCACATTTACAGTGTTTTGGAATGTTGGAATAGGAATTATTTACATGTTTAAATAGGAATTATTTACATGTTTACAAGACTTTTTTTCTAATTGTTGCTTTTACATATATACGTATTGGAGGTAAACAAGCTCAACCTCAATGAAAACATGATAAACATGTGGACGTTTTGGATGGAAATGCAACCTTTACAAGGTCAAAAGTGACCGGCACAAATTCGGCCACTTCAGGTCCGATGTCATGCCTTTTGGTCTATATGCCGCTCCTAATGTTTTTATGTCCATAGAGCATCCCCTGAGTTCCGGACGCCCCGGACGCCCCTGTGTCTCAGCTATTCCGGCTCGCTCCCGCATGAAACATGAAGTGTAATGAACAGATGCTGCTGAATTAGGAAAGAAACACCGGCTCCACCCAGCAGTGCAGGCTTGGCCAGGCCACAGCGCTCTGCCTGCCGTTTGGCACCGCGGGCGGGCGCAGCTGGCACTGCCCGGGCCGGGACTGCCCCCGCTGGCCGCCGCTAGGGCGTTTAGCGGCTTGGCAACCGTAGTGCTCCTGAAGAGGTGAGCTGAAGCGGGGTCCGGGGAGGACAGAGGCTTTTGGCACGTAACCCAGAGGAGTGGCCCCCTATGGTTCCATCCCAAAAGCCTCGGGACATCAATCCAAAAGACGTCCGGTTAAGGTCAGGTTAAGGTCTTTTTCTTACAGCATAGGCTGCACTGTCTTCCAAGATGTCCGTACCTTGTTCTTGTTTTCAGAAAGTCCCAAAATAATGAAGCCTAAATACTTACATTTTCCTATAATGATGTGAAATATTGTAAATATGTAAATATGTAGGAGCACTTCACTCCTCCAGGTTCGATGCCAAAAGCCTCTGCCCTTCCCGCACTGCTTCAGCTCACCTCTACCGCAGGGGGCTTGAAAGGAGGAAGTGGCCCCCATTTCATCTCCCATTTGGCCTTTTTACCCTCCGGGTCCTGAACGCTTAATGTCCGCCATCGCTGGAGAAATCAAGGGGGGTCGTTCCGCGCCTCTGAACGGACAGTGCGCCAGTGCCGGGATGAGCTGAATGGAGCTCCGAGTCGAAGGCCCAGTCAGATGATTTAGATGTCAGCAGTGGCCTGGGAAATTGATTTGCTTGGTCATTCGCTGAGCTGGGAAAAGAGTCCGGGTCCAGCAGAAATCTTCGTCCAGATGCCTATAAAGGCTCCAATTGTTTGGGATAATAAGACCAGGCCATTTATGATAATCAGTGAATATTAAATGACAATAATCAAATTCTTAATACCTGGCGTAAAGCTGGGAACTGGGAATTTAATCTCTGTTAATTTACACTCTTAATTTGTGATGGTCAGACATCCACAGGAGGTTCAACTGCTCAGAGTGGTAAAAACAGGACATTCATAACAGTCAGTGAATATTAGATGATGGTGATCAAACTCCTGATATCTGGCAACATGTAAGTGTACAGTTTACAAGTAACTAGTATGTTTTTGTGAATGATCAGCAGATCAGTTTACATTATTAATACATACATGAATGTAGTGGGTTATTATTATGGGTGTAAGAGCTGCATGAAAAAGATGAAACAGCAGGAAAACAAAAACAGCAGAGTCTCAGTTTGGCAGACAGGCCGCCCTCTATGGCCAAACACACCTGTTCAGGTGGGAGCTGTGTGGGACTCGGACATCTCAGAGGGATCAGTGAGGTCAGTGCTTTTAGGTCAGGTCTTTGTTTTAGATAGAGAAATGAATAGACTCACAATGGCAAATAAATAAATAAATAAATAAGCAATTTTTTCTTTAACGTAAATAAACAAATAAATAAACCAATATGTTTATTTAAAATATATAAAAGAATAGACCTTCAATCCCTAAAATAATTAAATAGCCATTTTTCCTTAACATAAATAAATAAACAAATGGCAATATACGACTGTATAAATAAATAAATAAATAAACAAATAAATAAATAATCAATTTAACATTCGACACGACCTAAACAAATAAATAAATAAATAAATCTTTGTCCTTTTCAGATAGAATATACTCGAATAAATAAACCCACAATGCACGAAAAATGAGTAAAATGAAATAATAAATTACAAATGAACATAAATAAATAGTACTAAAAAGTGATAAAATGTAGATAAATAAATAAGCACATAAGTAAACAATTAGATCGACCAATAAAAACATTTTCAAATAAATGAACTGAGATCAGACGAAATAAAGGAGTCAGATTCGGACGGAGTGATTTGTCCTGTAACTGATCCGGATCTGCTGTGTGAACAGAGCGGCCTGAATCCGTTTTTAAACACCTTAATAAACGTGTTTGATCCTCTTTGTGTTCTGTGTGTGTTTGTGTGTGCGTGCGTGTGTGTGCGTGTTTGTGTGTGTGTGGGTGTATGCGTGTGTGTGTGTGAGTGCGTGTTTGTGTGTGTGTGGGTGTATGCGTGTGTGTGTGTGAGTGTGTGTGTGTATGTGTGTGTGTGTGTGTGTGTGTGTGTGTGTTCCGGCTCCGTGAATAGAATCACACAGCAATACTTTAATAATCATTAATAAACTCTAAAATAAAAATCTCGCGAGCTTATTTAACACCGGGGATCAGTGAAGCGCGCTCCAGGCATGGCAGCGCGAGCGCGGGAGAGCGCAGAGCGGAGCGCGGAGGAGTGTGTGAGTGTGTGTAGGTGTGTGTAGGTGTGTATGGGGGGGGGCAGATGGGGCAGACGGGTCCCGGGGCAGCTCTCCAAACCCCCCCCCAGCAGGAGGAGGACAGGGGGGCGCCGGCTGCACCTCTGGACCTGCGCGCGCCAAAGAACAGGACAATTTGTTCTTTCATTCTGTTATTCTGCGTCACTGCAACAGTTTTGTTTGTTTGTTTGTTTGTTTAGAGAAAAAGGAGAAACGTTGTTTGTATTTGCGGAAAGCCGAACAAACGAAATCCAGTAAATGAAAAAGGAGTTTTTATTAGATCTGCCGTCGCGCGCGTTCTTTTCTTTTCTTTTCTTTTCTTTTCTTTTCTTTTTTTCTTTTCTTTTCTTTTCTTTTCTTTTTCTCTCATGCGCGCGACATTCTGACGGAAATCATTTATATTTACAGCTCGTGAAATTCGTGTTTATGTTCTTTACATTATTGAAAAGTTTTCGTTTTGTTGAGCAAATTTGACAAGAATTAATAAAACATTTAGACAGACTCGCATTATTATTATTATTATTATTATTATTATTATTATCGTTCGTTTGAAAATTGAAAATACAATATAATGTAACATTTCGTTTTAATTCCATTTCATAGTTTATTTTTAGCTGTTATGTCCAAAGTAAATCAGTGTGAATTGTTCCTGTTATTAATCGTTGTAATGACATCACTGTGAAGGAGGATCATTTCGGGTCGCCCTGTTTAAAAGATAAAAACAGTGATAATATTTCAGTAATGAGTAATAATAAGTAATAATATTTCAGCGCTCCTATTTCTGCAGAATCCCGTGGTTTGGCTGTGAAGCGCGTTCTTCACCTAAACAGACCATAAAGGGCTGAACAGCAGCATCTCAGTCATTCACTACAGCGTTTACCGCAGATTCAACACAAACACAGTGAAACAGCGGAGACGGAAATTAATAGAATTAAGGAAAAGTCAATAGAAGTGAGTGAAGCCCTTCGTGTGGAGTTAGATTGGCTTTAATCACTGCATTGTGCTGAAGAATCAATCATACTGAATTACCTTATTACTGATTACTGATTGTAAACGCCTGTAATTTTGTTCAGCATCCGCCTTTAATATATTATGTATTATATATTGTATATAAAATATATGATTAATATTGTTATATTACATCCATTGCATTCATTTCGCCCCTTTGCAACAAAATACACGCAGATAAATACGTGATTATTTACACAACTACATAATCTACATATCTACATATATATATATATATATATATATATATATATATATATATATATATATATATATATATATAATGTATAGGGTTGTGATTTCTTAGAACAACTTAGTACACCCAGTAAACGAACCTCACACACACACACACACACACATACACACACACTTTGGAAAGACAGGCACAGATAATAGACTAAATAAATTAATAAAATAAACAAACCATAAGCCCTGTTACACCAATGCTGAGTTATTAAAATGAAAAATTAAAAGAATTAAAAACAGGCTGAAAAACAGAGAAAAGAACTGTAGTAGAAATGACTGAGGCTGTAATTCATTTTCCTCTAATTTGATCCATAATTTAACATTTTCCCATTCTATTCTAATGTGTTCATTGTTTTATTTTATTTGTTATTCACTTAGTTTTATTTTGTAATATTTCATTTATTTTCGCTTTCCTTTTAATATCCATATCATACTCATATTCTGAATAAAGGATTAATAAAAATAAATAAATAAATAAATAAGAATGAATTTATGGTAAACCATTAGCTTGTTTGAATCCATTTATTAATTTTTTCCACATTTTGGTCCATTATAGTTCCGTGACGACGATTAACAAAAAAGCAAGATAAAAGTCCATTCTTTTTGTAGAAAAGCAGTTTTTTTCTGCCACTGACACACGAGCATTATGGGAATTTAAAGTTTTTGGGATGAAAAAAAAACATATATTTTTTTTTATTTAGTAACTTTCCCACCCAGTCTGAGAAGCTTCAATTGTGAAAAAAGGAGTTCAGCTCCTCATAAGGTGGCCCGTGCACGTCGTGAAAGGGCGGGGCATTTTCCGAAGCTCCGCCGCGAGCTCCCGAGGCGCCTCCATACGGGACAGCGGTGCGCTGGTAGTGCATAGAGTAGTGATGATGGTGGTGATGGTGATGGAAGGGCCGCTCTGCATCCGGCGATACCGCGGCGGCATCCTGTCGAAAGGCGAAGTTGCCGTTGACACAGAGCGTCGGGCTGTGGGGTGCGCCATCATACTCAGGGCTGGCATAGTCCGGCGAGGCGGCGTAGTCATACGGTGGGCAGTAGGAGTGGCCCCGGAGGGCGTGGGCAGCTGAGCATGGCGTAGTCGGCAGGGTTGGACCTTGGGTACCCAGCCGAGCGCACTGGTATGGGTACTGGAAGGGCGTCTCTGCATGAAACGCGCGAACACCATCCTGGCTGCCCGGCTCAGTCAGGAAGTTGCGGGCACTCAGCTGCAGGCAGCCTGCCACCAGGTTGGTGGTGGGCTGCGACAGGCCCTTGCACAATGTCTGGACGTAGGAGACCACATCGGGCCGCTTGCCATTGCGCAGGATCTCAGACAGAGCCCAGATGTAGTTCTTGGCCAGGCGCAGTGTTTCAATCTTGGACAGCTTCTGGGTCTTGGAGTAGCATGGGACGACCTTGCGCAGGTTGTCCAGCGCGGAGTTCAAGTCATGCATGCGTGTTCGCTCCCGAGCGTTTGCCTTCTGCCGTCGCAGCTTGGAGCGCTCAAGCCGTGCCGGAGTCATCTTGCGCTTCTTCGGGCCGCGCTTCTTGGGCCGATCTGTACCACCGTCCTCGTCGTCGTCGTTGCCGCCTTCGTCCTCGTCGTCGTCCTCGTCGTCCTCATCAACTGCTGCTGACCGCCCAACTCTGACGCCCTTGTCATCGCCCTCCTCATCCAGGTCCTCGTCCAGTCCCAGACGGCAGGGGTCCTGCTCGTCCTTGTCGTTGGTCTTGGAGTCCTCACTGCCGCTGTCGTCCACCCAGCCCGGAAACTTGCGTGCATCCGCCAGCAGCGACGGCTCGTTGAACAGTCGCGTCAGCATGGCGCCACCAGCACTGGAATGCAAGACAAGAGCAGGTTAAGAGACAAGAAAATGATTGTTGCTGTAAACTAGTGGTTCCCAACGCTGATCCCGGAGTTTCCTTGCCCTGCATTGCAGAATCCCTTTGTCTTCACAGAGCTAGTATTTCCCTTGTTTTAACACACCCAGTTCAACTTAGGAAAGGGTAGTTGTTTGCTGATTAGTTGTATCGGGTGGGTTGAAGCAGGGAAAAGGTCAAAATATGCAGGGCAGGGATACTCCAAGACCAAGATTGGGAACCACTGTTGTAAGCAATTCTGAGCCAGGTTGCATTTCTCAGTACTGACATCTTATTCAATAAGAACACCTGACCAAATGGGAACAACCTAGACCCCCAGTATTCAACGTCAACAATAAAACCATGATATATAAATCGGAAATTCATCAGTGCATCTTCAATGGAAGTCAGGGATGCTGCTGGCACGGACAGACGACCGCCAGACGGCCTCGCTCCCCAATTCCCCACACGCGCGGCCCTCCGTGGCCCCTGCCGGCCCCTCCGCGCACGGGCCCTATTACGGGGTCCCGAGGGGCGTTTTGAGCACTGGGTCCCCCCCTTACCCCCCTTCATCCACCCTCCACCCTCTCTTCCCCCTCTCCTGCATCCTGGCGGCATTCCAGCACAGCTAATGCCCTGATGGGCCAGAAAAAAAAGAACAAGATAAAAAGATCCGTCTTCTTTTTTCTTTTCAGTCATGCTGGCAAATAGACACAACTAATGTAAAATGAAAAAAATGGCTACAATTGCTGCAAGTTCATGACATCACAACACCACAAAAAACAATGCAATTGGTGCAAAAATATCACATTACATATCAACATGTAACCATATTCATATTTTGACATTCAGATGAATGATAAAGTATCATTTAAATCAAGATAAAAGAGTAACAATTAAAAACATGCCTTATGATTGAGATTTCTCAGTATGAATTCAAATTTGCGCACTTGCCAATAAATAAAAACAATTTCATCCACAAGCCTGGATTCGTACTTGACACGTGAGGAAACGTCCAAATGAGCCGTTAAGTTTGACCTTGCTGGTGAAAAAACCTTATCCATTAGACGTGAAGTGAGGCAAAACTGTCTAAAAACATTCGCAGCCCCCTGCGGTCCCTACGTCTTGCTTCTCCTTCTTTGAGCAGTTCACCGTTAGAACAATGAGAGCCGCCTGCCTTATCGAAGCCGGATCGAATCAGGCTGAATGAACTACATGCGTCCCAGAGAGTGTGAAAAACACCATGGTGGCTGTCGATTCTCGTCCGCTTCGAGGCGGACAGGTTGCCGGGATTAGGTGCCTCGCCTTGATTAGATCCCACGGCAGCGTGCAGATTAATGGGATTGCTTGGGGACGAGGGAGCCTCCCAGTAAACACGACAACAACCAGGGACGGGAGATGCCGTATCGCTGCTAAATCGGATGGAAGGAAGTGTTGATGTATCCCAAAACTCACCTTGTTGGTAGTGCACTTGCTTGGGCGAAGGTACCTCCTCCGTCTACATCATCTTCGGGGACCAAGAACCCAATAGGATGTTCCGGCAGGAGTCGAGGCGAGGGTCTATGGGTGTGCGTATGTGTGGGTTCGCGCGTGTGTGTGTGATCCGACGTGAGCGCTACTCTTTCCCCGGCCGCGCAGAGAGACGGTGTGGCATGGCTGGCAGGCAGGGTTACATACCCGCTCTGATGCCAGGCCATATGGTGGGCACGTCACTGGCAGGAGCCATCACATGAGAGCGGGTGATTGACACGCAGCCGCATTCGCCGAGATTCTGCCTTCCCCGGGGAAGAGAGGCCCGCCATCTGTCGCCGCCGCACACACACACACACACTTACTCGCAAACACACACACAATCACACGAACGGACACACATGAACATCCTCTACACACAGGCTCAGGGAGAGAGAGAGAGAGACAGAAAGACAGAGAGAGAGAGAGAGGGAGAGAGAGGGAGTCTATCTACATGAATAAATAAAACAATTTCCCACTCCTTAGCACAAAAGGTTTAGCAGAACAAGCTGGAAAAATACATACTGGAATAGAAAAAAGGGCCTTGTCCACTTTTACGTCCATTTTTTCCAGTTCAGCGTCTATTATCAAGCTATTCTGGGGTGACTGATATCGACGCTTAGGTGATGAAAGAGTGAACGAGCATGTGTGGCCTTGCATTTATGTCTTTGTATGCACAACAAACTGGACAAATACATACGGGAACAGAAAAAGGTGTCTTGTCCATGTTTACATCTTTTTCCCATTCAGCATGACATTGAACATCAAACAACCTCAGTGCAATTGATACCCACTCTAACAACAAGCTGGACAATACATACTGGAACAGAAAAAGGGGCTTGTCCATTTCATGTCCCTTGTTCAATTCAGCGTGACATTGATTATGAAACCCCCCTGGGGCATTTGATATCCGCCCTTAGGTGAAGACAGACTGGAGCGACGTAGTGAACGAGCATGTACGGCGTGGTATTTATGTCTTTGTATGCAGAACTAGCTGGGAAAATACATACTGGAACCGAAAAAGGAGGCTTGTCCATGTTTGCATCTTTTTTTCCCATTCAACGTCACATTGATTATCACCCTGGGACAACTGGTTTCCACTCTTACAACAAGCTGGAAAACAAGTTGGGAAATGCATACTGGATGGGGCTTGTCCATTTTCATGTCCCTTTTTGAATTCAGCGTGACATTGATTATGAAACCCTGGGGCGTTCGATATCCACCCTTAGGTGATGACTGGAGGGAGTGAATGAGCATGTATGGCCTTGTATGGTATTTGTGTCTCTGTATGCACAACCAGCTAAAAAAAATACATACTGGAACTGAAAAAGGGGGCTTGTCCATGTTTTTGCATCATTTTTTCATTCAGCATGACACTAATTATCAAACAACCCTGGTACAGTTGGTTTCCAGTCTAACAACAAGCTGGAAAACAAGCTGGAAAATACATACTGGATCAGAAAATGGGGCTTGTCCATTTTCATGTCCCTTTTTGAACTCAGCGTGACATTGATTATGAACCCCCCCCAGGGTGTTTGATATCCACCCTTAGGTGATGAAAGACTGTAGGGAGTGAATGATCATGTTTGGCCTTGTATTTATGTCTTTATATAACAAGCTGGAAAAATACGTACTGAAATGGAAAAATGGGGCTTGTTCATTTTTTATGTCTCTTTTTGATTCAGTGTGAAATTGATTATGAAACCACCCTGGGGCGATTGATATCCACCCTTACAAAAACCTGAAAAAAATAGCTGGGAAATACATACTGGAATAGAAAAAGGAGTTCCGGTTTACTTCTCTTTTTTATTCAGCAAAACATTGATTGTGAAACATCACTGATGCAATTGATATCCACCCTAACAACAAGCTGGAACACAAGCTGGAAAATACATGCTGGAACACTGTAAAAAGAGGCCTTGTCCACTTTTATGTCCAGCTTTTTTCCCATATGGCATGACACAAATTTTGAAACCACCTTAGATGATTGATATCCATTTATAGAGTAATAATGTTAGTTTGGCCTTGTGTTTATTTATTTGTTGGTACAGCCAGCTGGAAAATACATACTGGAATATAAAAAGGGGCTTGTCCATTTTTACATCCTTACAGTGTCAAGGACATAAATTGCTGTTGTTGGAAGAAAACCTTTAATCTCCATTTTCATCGTTTTTCAGTTTTAGACATATTTTGAAAATGCCTGTTACCCTTTACATTGTTGGAAATTTCATGATGAATGGACTCAAAGAAATGACCCAAAATGACTTGGAAAAAGTTCTGGTTCCATTGACTTACATTAAAAGTAAAGTAGTTTTTTTCCTTCTCCTGTAAAGTTACCATTTTGGAGATTTTGGAGGTTTTGTTCCGACAACAGCGAAACACAAACTGTGGCTTTTATTAAAGGCTAAAGCTGATCTTTTGGTTGCTGAGGTCAAGGTTAAGGTTGGGATTGGTGGAGCACAGCAGAATTCACAGCACAGTGCAAAAGTCAGAGACCCTTTGTTTATTGAATTTTTACTCAAAATGGACATTTAATACAAGTCATTCATTTTAAAGGAAGTTTCCAAAACTGCAGTTCAAAAACTGATTAAAGTCTACAGAGAAAATGTGGCTCCTAACAACCACCTGGAAGACCTGGTAGACCGCAAAACTGCCCCCATCAGATAAACAGCACTTAAAGCTTTCATCTCTGAGAGAGAGGAGGAAATCAAGCTGCTTCAGATCTGAAAACATCCACAGGTGTTTCTGTCCATCCTTCCACTGTGAGAAGACGACTCAGCGCTGTGGGTCTGAAAGGATGTGTAGCTGATCAAGAAGAACCTCACTGAGAAAAGGAGACGGACACATCAAACAAAGAAGCTGAACGATGGACTGACCACCCCAGAGTCCAGACCTCAACACCACTGAATGTGTTTGATTACTTCAGAAAATGATCAACCAGCTTCTAAGACTGAACTTTGGAGGTGTGTCTGCAGATTCTTTGAGGAACTGAAAGTGAGTCTCCTGAAAAGAATGGAGGCTGGAATAAAGGTAAAGAGTGACTCACTGAACACTGAAAATTTTGTTTAATATTCTTCTTTCCTGACAATGAAAAACGAATAACTTGCACCTCAAGGCCGTTTTGAGTGTAAGTTAAATACATGAAGGGTCTCTGGCTTCACTGTGCACACACTCACCACATCACCAGTACACCCTCGAGTGTGTGTGTGTGTTGGAAGCGTATCTGTTTGCAGTTGCGCAGAAAGGTGTCTGTGGTCAAGGGCGGGAAATGAGAGAGATTATGAATTGGCATGTTGCAGAACTGAAACGGCGCCAAGCCTGGAAAGTGGGAGGGATTTTTCCCCCTTTTTTCTTCCAGGCTTTTTTCTAAATGAAGTCATCTTTTCTTCACGTAAAAAACTGCAGTAACACAAATGCACTGCATTACTTATCTCTCATATTTATGCTGTATATTTTTTCATTTCGCTACAACAGGTGAAAAAAGCAAACTGCATGTTTATACAAACACAGACTGTCTCTTAGGATAAAACCTGTATTTAGAAAACAGTCAGAATTTCTCTCTAAACAAAGCTCCCTTTTCTTATCCAACATCAGCATCATATATATACTGTATTGCAATAACATCACGCTATTTCTTCTGTGCTAATATCTGTATTGATATTTATCCCTCTGTTACTTCAAGTAAATAAATTGTCCACAAAAATACACATAAATATATGTTTCTAGATTTTTTGGCATGGTGGGAAAATATGTATGGTACCACCATCATTTATAGGTTGCGATAAATACAGGTTCCAGGATTTCCAGGTTACCAATATTTTACCAAACAAACAAATAAACTCTCACTAAAAAATCATTTAAGCTTAGAAAGAGCTTATAGGCTCACTGACATTACTGAAGAAAAACAACATTGGTACACAGTACTAGAAAGTATTTGGACATTGATGAAATTTAACTGTTGGACTGGAATTAAAACTATGACTATGAGGTTAAAGGATGGTTAAACACAGGATTTCATTTTAGGATGTTTACTTATTTGTGCTGTATTGTATTGTTTTGTGTATTGTATTGTATTGTACAATACAGTACAATACACAAAACAATACCACATATATATATATATATATATATATATATATAAATATATATATATATATATATATATATGTGTGTGTGTGTGTGTGTGTGTGTGTGTCTGTGTGTGTGTAAATGTATATATAATGCTTAGATATATGTTTTTCAGACTTAGTTTAAAAATGATGAATGGGCCAAAAGAAACGGGCCAAAATGACTTGGAAAAAATTATGGTTCCATTGACTTACATTAATATGAAAGTATGTTTTTTTTTCTTCTCCTGTAAAGTTACCATTTTGGAGATACAAGGTTTTCTTCTGACACCAGATTATATTATAAATATATAGATATATAGATAGATAGAGATATGATAGTATACTCTGACATAAATGGATTGATTTGGATGGTCCTTGGCCCTGAAAATTTCCATGTTATGGATTTTGGATCATTATCTTGCTCCTAGTTACTGTAATTAAAATAGTATTACTATTATTATTAAATATGAGTAATTAAAATTTTGCACAAGCCACTTATTTTCTTTTTTCCCTCCAATATGTTAAATTCAGCAAATAAACAGTAAATGTAATTAAAATGTGCAGAAGCTTCTTTGTATTTTCACTTAGAAAACGTAATTTGACTAGTGTGCCTAAACTTTTGCACATGACAAAAATGTATCAACATGGGGAAACCCAGCCTAGATCAGTCCCATTAAATCATTACACAGTATTTTACTAATTATCAACAAGGGTGCCAATATTTCTGCACCAGACTGTCTGTCAGAGCATTTTACCATTCACATTTAAAATATACATCAAACAGAGAGCAGGATGATATTAGAGACACTGGATATAATGATTAAGCAAAGAATTAAAGAATGATACAAATACACACATAAATTGTAGTGACATTGAAGTATATAACATAGTAATAACTGTATAATGACTGACGTATACAGCAAAAATGTATTTGAATATACCTTGAATGTATAGTAACACTGCGATGGACTGGCGACCTGTCCAGAGTGTATCCTGCCTTCTGCCCAGTGACAGCTGGGATAGGCTCCAGCACCCCACCGCGACCCAGAAGGATAAGCGGTTTAGATGATGTATGTATATGTATGTATGTATAGTAACATGCTTAGCTTAAAATATAGCATATAATTAAGTATAAGTTTACAAATATAAAAATACATGCAATAGGCTTGAAGCATATAGTAATATAGGAGTAATTGTA